ATCTGCAAGACCACAAATGTAATTAAAGGCATCAACAGACATAAAAGCAAGAACCACATGACTATATCATTAGATACGGAAAATAACTTTTGATAAAATCCAGCATCTCTTGTTGATAAAAACCCTCAAACACCTAGGCATAGAAGGAATATACCTCAAAATAGTAAGCACCATCTACGATAAACCCATAGCCAACATATTGCTAAGCAGACAGAAACCAGAAACATTTCCTCTGAAAATTGGAATAAGACAATGATGTCCATTCTTATCCTTCCTGTTCAGCACTGTTGGAACCATTAAGCAAGAGAAGCTAGAGCAATTAGACAAGAGAAGGAAATCAGGAGTATCCAAACAGGAAAAGAGGAAGTTAAGTTATCCCTCCTTTGCTGATGATGATATGACCTGCACCTCTAAAAGCCAAGAGAATCTGTCAAAAACATGCTTTCACTGATAAAAGGCTTTCACAGCAAAGTCTCGGGGTACAAAATAAAAGTGCAAAAGACAGCTGCATTCATATATACCAACAACAAGCAGGCAGAGAACCAAGTAAAAAACACAACCCCATTCAGAATAGCCACAGAAAAATGAAATATCTTGGCATCTTCCTAACCAGAGAAGTGAAAGATCTTTACAATGAGAACTACAAAACAATGCTCAAAGAAACCCAGGAAGACATAAACAAATGGAAATATAGTCCATGCTCATGGATAGGAAGAATCAACATTGTTAAGATGTCCATCTAACTAAAGGCAATCTACAGATTCAATGAAATAACCATTAAATAACCAACATCATTCTTCTGAGATCTGGAAATGACAATACAGAAATTCATATGGAAACATAAACATCCAAAAATAGCCAAAACAATCCTCAGCAAAAGAAACAAAGTGGGAGACATCACACTTCCACACTTTAAACTTCACCATAACGCTGAAATAATCGAAAACAGCCTGGTATTGGTACAAGAATAGGCATATGGACCAATGGAACAGGATAGAGATTCTGGAAGCAAAACTTCAATTTCTCAGCCAAATCATCATTGACAAAGTCTCCACCAACAACCACTGGGGAGAGGAGAACGTATTCAGTAAATGATGCTGGGAAAACTGGCTGACCACATGAAGAAGATTGGAACAGGATCCCTACCTAACACCATATACAAAAATAAACTCTAAATGGATCAAAGACCTAAATGTCAAACCTCAAACTATAAAAATCTCAGAAAATGCAGGAGACACCCTTATGGAAATTGGAATTGGCAACCAATTCCTGATCAAAACCCCTAGTGCTCATCCAATAAGAGGTAAGATAGACAAATGGGATCTTCTCAAACTGAAAAGCTTCTGCAAAGCAAAAGAAACCATCAAAGGAGCAGGGAGATAGCCCACAGAATGGGAAAAAATATTTGCCAACTGTTAGATCTGACAAAGATCTAACATCTAGGATCTACAAGGAACTCAAACATACCAAAAGGAAATAACAAACAGCCCCATTAAAAAGTGGGTGAAAGACCTGAATAGAGCTTTTCAAAAGAAGATATATAGGCAGAAAACAGACACATGAAAATGTGCTCAGCCCCTCACTCATCATCAGAGAAATGCAAATCAAAACCATATTGAGATACCACCTAACTCCAGTAAGAATGGCCATCATTATTAAAACAAACAACAGCAAATGCTGGCGAGGAGGCGGAGAAAAAGGAATGCTTCTACATTGCTGGTGGGAATGCAAACTAGTACAGCCTCTTTGGAAGAGAGTGTGGAAATTTCTAAAAGAACTAGACATTGACCTTCCATATATTCCAGCAATCTCCATAGTGGAAATATACCCTGAGGAACTGAAATCACTCTACAAAAAAAAAAAAAAATGCCTGCACACACATGTTTTTTGCAGCACTACTCACAATAGCAAAAACATGGAACCGACCATGTTGTCCATCAAAACTAGACTGGATTAAAAAAATGTGGTATGTATACACAGTGGAATATTATGCTGCCAAAAAGAAGTACAAACTATGGACTTTGAAGCAACTTGGATTGATGCAGCATCTATCATACTCAGTTATCTATCACAGAAACAATGAACAGAGTACCACATGTTCTCACCTATAAGCAGACCCTGAACATTTACCATAATACTTTAAGAAAGGGATTGGCACTAGTGGTATTCTGCTGGGGTTGAAGGGGAACACAACGTCAATAAGGGTACCTTATCTCAAACCAGGCAAAGTGGGAACCAAAGGGAGGCCCACACTTCACCTGTACGATGACCACTTGTATGCCTAATCCTGAATTGTACCCCACATCTTTAAAATAAAAAATGATTAAAAAAAAGAAATTATTCTTCTCTTCATGGACCTATTAACAGTATAGTATCTGCTTTATATGGAGCTCAATTATTGAGTCAGAATACAGTGCTCCCCTTTCCTGAATCTTGACTTTACAATAACATCTTTGGGTTGCTTCCACAGTGACATCAATGTCGAGGGACATGACCAATTTGTGCAGAAGGACACATTGTGTTCAGCTAACGGGTATGAGAAGTATTGCTGCCTTGGCCCTCCTGAATACAAATATTTTACAAATCTGCTGGACATATGTTCTTAAGAATACTTTTTACATGAATATCACTTAGCGAAAATAGCTAGGTACTAAATGATTTAAATAAAATATTAGACAAACATTTTCATGTATATGTAACTAACTTCTAGGCTCATTTGATGGAGTGAGGCAAGCTTCTTACAGAAAGGTCAGCTCAGTGGTCTGTCAGAATTCTCTCACTGATGCCTGTTGTTCTGACATAATTATCAATAAAAGCTGTCACTTTCACTGTCCAAGAGTCAGGGTGACAGATAATATAGCCATTTGCATTATAATGTATATAGATTACTTTCACTTCCTCTTATTCTCAGATTGCCATGAAGTTCAATGCTTCCAATGATATAATCAGTAAATAGAATAGTCACACACCTGAAGGCCTGTTTTTTTTTTTTCTTCTGTGTGAGACTTGGACTGACTAAACTTTCATTTCCTACTGAATTGTTTACCCTAGATAGCATCGTAACCATTTGTTTAGACTCTCTCAACTAGTCACTCAGGGCATGCTCAGGACAGAAGCAGATAGGTATGTCAGATAGATTGTTTGCTATCATGGTTTTCTTCCTTATTACACAGAGTCAACAGGACAATGAGGCGAATTTAGACTATACAAACCCTAAATTCAAAATAGATCCAAGTACTTAGAAATGTGTTCGTAGAAATTTTATTTGTTCATCTCATTTGCTAGTGTGAGATACTTTCACATTCACATAATAAAGTTTGGAGACAATCCTGGCAATTGTGTTTCCTTTTTAAAATCACACTATCTGGTGAATGGGTCACCTGAAGTCCAGTTCCCACCACTATGCACCATGTCCATGTAACAGACAGGCACTCGTATCCCCTAAATCCAAAATAAAGTAGAATCACGCTTTAACTTTCTTCTAATCAGTTTAATTTATTTCTAAAGTTTTTTAAGAAAATAATTTAAGATTCATTAAGTTGATTATTTAGTAATTAAATTAGCTCATTTAGCAAATTAATTAACACTCAAGAGCCGATCATGACTTGATGAGTATTTCAATCAAAAGAAAGTCTTTAGTAATAGAGTTTACAACAATCTCATCTGAGAGTTATCAAGAGCCACTGGCATCTAAAATTCCTTGGCCACAAAATTATTCTTTTGGCATCATGCAAAGGCAACACCATACATGGCCCAATCACCTTAGCTTTTGGGTGCTAAATTTAATTTCACAATGTTAAAATAAAAAGAAGCAAACTGACCTTAAATGATGTGAATTGTGCACGACAGTCTAAATTGCTGAGTCATGAAGAATCACAAGGCTCTGAATGCAGCATGGCATTTCACCTGACTATGACCAACTGGACCCCACCTCTAGACTCTCATCTTTCCCAAATCAAACACTCCCCACTCTCACCTACACTCTACCTTCCTCCCACATACAGATCTCTGTCTCACGTTGTTGGCATTGTTTTAGAAAATTCTGTTCAAGACTTAATTTCTGGTTAAATATGTGTGTCCCACTAAGGGATTACTCACTAATCCTTAAAATCAGAAGGAACAAATCCGTTTATGCCTCAGGTCATATTTTGATAAAGAAGAAAATAGAGTTGACTTAAGTGACTGATATCCTCATGATAGGGAAGAGAATGTCTTCCATGGGGGCTGGAACCCCTAGTCAGAAACCGCAGTGATAACGGGAAGGAGATTGAAAGGGGGTCAGTTGAACTTTAAGATCACTTCCAATTAAAAACAGTAATAATAGTGTACAATGCTTTTGCTTTGTCATTTGTCACTCCATAATCACCAGGGTTGCTTTTCATTGTTGTTATTTTGCTTTGTTTTTGAGATGTCTGGCTAAGAAGGTTCCCTTCATCATTCAGTATGCATCACTCCCAAAGATACATCCTTTGTGAAAAGGGTACCTTATCAGGTAGTATGCAGCCCTTATTAAGTCAAGAGTTTATAAAGACTACACTTCCTGGCTAAAAAGCTTAAAACTTCAAAATTCCACCGTTCCATAAATCTAACACATGTGCTATAAAAATAGAAAAAAAGTGAGAAGTTTTCCTTGTTTTTATCTTGTAGATATTAATACAGGAAAAATCATAAAGAAACAATTTTAAAATTGCTTTCGAGGAAGCAAATTTATCTTTAATTATGAGGCCATACCTTCAGAATGGAGAAGACAGATGAACAGACTGATTGATCAGTATAGATTTACTTTAATATAATTTCCTGTTGTACTATGCTTGTTTCATCAAAAAATTCCATTTATTTTCTATAAGCAGATCGAAGCATAATTTACCTTAAATCCACAGAAATGGGGATTTTAAATTTGACCCAGTAACCAACAAAAGTGCTGAAAGAAGACATTTCGATCGTTCTCGAATTAGAATGTCTGTAGCATACTGCTCAGAGCTTATCTGAACACACATTACCTTTGTCGCAGCATCAAAGCAGATAAATCCTGTGCTGAAGTCAATCGTGAGTCCCATCAGATGACTTTCTAGCACACATGCATAGGTCTTACACTAGACAAAACAAACAGTACTGTTACTATTCACATGATGAATGCAGTAGCAATGTAACAACTAAGTCAAGACTATATGGCGGGCCCTGCAGTAAGTACTTTATACAATATCAACCTTAATATTAACAATAATTGTATAACGCTGATACTATTATCAGTACCTTAATGTTCATGACACAGAAGCTGAGAGGGCTTTTTTTGACTTGTCAAGGGATATGCAGGGTCACGTTTCCAATTCTGCTCCCGCTTTGTCTTTGTGTTTTACTACCCTGATTCTCTTTGCTATGTGAACAATAGCACTGGTATTAAGATGTTTAGGTAGGCGAGATTATATTAAGTGGCTATATCCTGTTGCCAAATATCACATCTTCATTAAACCAAAAGTGATCTATTATTAGAGATTAACGTTTTACTTAAATTCTCAGAGTATCAATTTAAGGAATATTGTTAAAAGAGACCTTCAAGCGTGCAAACACGGATTTAAAACCAAAGCAAAATAATGTGTCTTGATCATAGTAAGATTCTCTGTATGTTCGATGTGGCACAAGACATTTACCACTCACCTATCTATTTGTATAAAACTACTGACTCTTTACAAATTAACAAGTAATGACGTTTTACACTGAAATCAGATTACATTACGATGTCACTTCCATAAATATTTTGAGGAGACTAAAATACATGGACTCTAAAATATAAAATAACAAGATACAAATCAAATATGAAATCAAACTTGGAGCTTATAAACAGCATGATGCATTGTTATATCAGTTACTTTGTTTTATTTGAATTTAATTTCAAACTGTAGTAGGATATTTAAATGATAAAAAATATTTATGTGTCATGTACAGGTGAGAGACAGAAAAAGAGGGAGGGAGAGAGAGAAGTTTCTATATATCCAGTACATTTGCAATACTTATCATTGTATTTGTTTTTATATTACTGCATATTAAAAAACACAAATTGAATCATATCCTGACTGTAATTAAGACTAAATACATCAAATTGTCTTCACCAAAAAGGTATATTCATGTGTTAAGCCTAACTAGCATAGAAAAAATATAATAGTGCTAAATTACCCATTTGGATTCAAATTTTTCAAAAAAGCAGATTAGAGAACATAACGGACCTCAAAAGTCCATTTGGGGAGCAATTATATTTGTTTAATACATGGGCATCTTGTATGCTTGCATCTACCCATTACTACTTTATTAAAACTATTGTCATCATTAAGGCATGTTCAAGGCTATATAATTTCCTCCTAATTTAGATGTAATTATTTGCTATTTTCAGTTATTGTCATTTAAATAAAAAATTTCAGGTGAAAACACATTCAATACAGGGCATTAAAATTTTCCCATTGTTAGGTATTACAACTTATATAAGATTTTCTCAATAATCCTTAAATTGAAACAAGTATATATACTATAAACTGAGAACCACTGACCTTTAATTCTATAATTTATAACATCAGTAACATAAGTATACTTAATATATGTTTAACATAGAATATTTGATTTATTGTTTAACTGTTATTTAATAAAAATATAATTGCATAGAGACAATGCAATAAATAAAAATTATCTTTTTAAGTTAAGTTCAGATGCAAATACTTTGAAAGTGAATCCATTAATTTTTTAAAATATTACAATAGAACATATGTTTCTTCTTATTTAATTCTTTACCAACTATAATGGAGGTAAAGAATGGAGGTAAGAAAAACAAAAAGCACTAAGATTTTTCAAGTAAATATATTCACACTTGGAATTTTCAAACAGCACTAGCAAGGTGTTCAGCCATTGATTACTGATTTCTAATGTAGTAACCAAAAGGAGATTATAAAATCTATAGAACAACCAAAAGCTTAAAAGACATTAAATGTTTTATTGTTCACTTTCAAAATGAATCTTAAATTGGCATTGTGAATAGACAAGATGATATCTAACGTATTTCATTGGGCATCAACTCAGTGAAAACAAAGCCCAGATTCAAAGAACAGTATAAAAACATAAAGCAAAAGCATAACTTTATCTTATTTCTAAACACCAGGAGACTTAAAATGAAATCTCTAATCGAGATAAAAATGTGCAAATTGCCATGAAGCTGCTTTCAAGTGAAGAGAAATATTCTAGAGAAACAATAATTTAAAAAACTTAAAAAGATTAAAATAAATAACAAGTCCCATTCAATTAAATTATACTCTAATTCTTTAAGATGATCTTAGATATTGACACTGGGAATACAATAATATTTTCAATCTTTCCATTTTTGATATTAAAATATGTGTTTCATGGAATTAATATCCTATACAGCTAAATTATGGAAACAGTCTTCACCAATTTTAATATTTTCAGATATATGAAGATAAAAGCAGAGTTATTAAAGAGTATCAATAGAAAAATGGAACAGTTGAAATTTGAGACTTCTCCCTGTCTTTTTTTCCTCGGTGGTAATGTTATACTGGTACAACTTGATATGTCGACTATAGAAGTTTGCAGTTAGAAAAAAGAAATCAATTCAACATGTTAAAACATGCATTTAAAAATCCTATTATTGGCAAACATTCCAGTATAATGATTATTATAATCATTTGCTTTTTAAATTAAGTATCCATGTATATATTTACATCCTCATTCTATGGATCCATTTGCAGATGGCAAGGACATGATAGACTTTTAATTTGCCCACAGGTCTGTTAGAGGTCAGTGATAGAACCAAATTAAGACTTGTTGAAAGCCTGTTCCAGTTCGATCTAGGTATGACTTCACACTTAAGAAGTAAAGTGTATTCCATATCCGTTGAAAGCTCGTGCTGTGCAAAATGCATTGGACTTTGGTTAGTAGACAAATGAATAAAATCATCCCAAGCAACCCATAGCTCAGTGGGAAATGACAAGCATATATCACTCTAATGCAAAACACTGTGAGCAGCACTAAAGCAAACAAACAAACAAAACACACAAGAAAGTTACACTGTGTTCAAAAGTAAGAAGTGGAAAGAATTGAAATGGGGTAGTTGTAGAAGACAGTGGCAATTAGTGGTTAGGGCAGACTGTAAATCAGGATCATGTTAGTGGATGTCGTAATTTTTGAAAAACGTTTCAAACACTATGTATGTTTTGAAAGGACCAAGACAAAGGGAAAGCTTTCTAGAAGAAAGAACATTAGGAGTGAATGAACGCAACAGGCTGGAAATTAGAAGGTCATGTTTGGAGACCAGAAAATGACCTTGCAAGCAATGAATTAAAATCAGAGCATTTTCTATATTTGAATCAAATTAGAGCTATCTCATCAAAAATAGAAATATATTTTTGAAGATTATAGAGCAAATTGCAGAAAAATGAAAATATTATTCAGAGCTGTATTTCTAAACATTTAACAATAATGACTAATCATTGAATATATTTGAGATGGTCAAGACTCCCAGACCATATTTTTGTGTCATTTTAAATTTATATTAGAACTCTAGGAGAGCGGTCATGCATCTTTGGGTGTCACAGACCCTACCCTTCCACAGACTCTCACCTGTATCCGTTCTACTTCTAGAAAGGTTGCTGTTTGGAAAGCTCTTTCCCACTGGGCGAGGTCACAGTCCAGCTCCACCGAGAAGTAGAGGTCCTCCCCCAATTCGGACTGCACGGTGAAGCAATGTTTCCGCCGGTCCAGCAGGTCACTGTCCTGGTGAAAACCTGGAGTTACACAGGCTGGCACACATCCCTCCCATTGCTAACATAGCCAATCCTGACTGCAGCAAGGTACCGATGCCACAGGAAAAAAGATAACACTATGGCATCACTAAGTCTTCATTAAAAATGGTCACAGCAACCAAAACTCTGGGTCTCGAAGTCCAGAAACAACACATTACTTCTCTGTATGTGCACTGAAGCATGGCTATAAAATAATAGTCAGAATTTCTGGCTTCCAGTCTTATGAGCAATGTAACTACTGAACCATTAAATACATGAGACTCAGCTTATTGTCATACAAAGGGGTGACATATAATCTCCTTCCTCCCTTGCAGAGCTGTCATGATGTTGAAATTAAATAATGCTTATGAATGAGTCTGCAAATTGTAAAAAGCCATGTAACCATGCTAGGCTTATTGACTTGATTTCTGAAATTCTTAGAGAATCATGAAAATATTCTTCTTCATGATAAATGAAAAAGAAAATGAAACTAACTTTTCTACAGCAATTATATATATATATATATATATATGTATATATAGATGAGTATAGGAAATATTCTAGAAAGGTCAAATCATGGAAACATTTAAATATTATTCAGATATATATTGCTAATTATTTAAAAACAATGGCTAATTATTGAATATATTTGATGTTGTAGAGAAGTCTAGCTCATATAATTATGATGTACAGTACATAATACTTGATTATGATAATAAAGGACAATGTTGTTTATGGGCTTACTGTACTTTTAATCATGATTTTTAGAATGTACTTCTTCTGCTCTTTTTAAAATCAGCTGTTAAACTGTTTTAGGCTGGTCCTTCAGAAGGTTTTCCAGAAGAAACATCATTATCATAGGAGATGACAGCTCCATGTGCGTTATTGCCCTTGAAGACCTTACAGTGGGACAAGATGTGGTGAAGATAGCAACAATCCTGACCCCTGTGTAAGCTAAAGCTAATGTGTGTCTGTGTCTTGTTTTTAATTATAAAAGGTTTTAAAAGTAAATATTTAATTTAAAAGTAGAAAAAAATCTTCTAGAATAAAGATATGAAGAAATATTTTTGTATGGCTGTACAATGTGTGTTTCAATCTGTTTTGCCATGAAAGTGTCAAAGAGTTAAAAAAAATAAAAACCTAAAGTTAAAAGTAGGCTAAGGTTAATTTATTGTTGAAGAAAGAAAAAAAATTAAATACATTTAGTGTAGCCTAAATGGCCAGTGGTTTATAAAGTCTACAGAGTACATTAATGTCTTTGACCTTTCACATTTACTCACAACTTACTGACTCATTCAAGAGCAAATTTCAGTCCCGAATGTGCCACCCATGCTAAGGGCCCTATATAGATGTACCATTTAAAAATCTTTTATAGTATTTTTACTGTATGTTTTCTACGTTTGGATGTTTAGATACTCAAATACTTACCATTTTGTTCTAGTTGCCTACTGTATTGAGTACAGTAACATGGTATAGAGGTTTGCAACCTAGAAGCAATAGGTTGTCCTATAGAGCGTAGGTGTGTAGTAGGCTATACTATCGACCAGGTTTATGAAAGTACTCTGTGTGACATTTGCATAATGACAAAATTGCCTAACAACCTACTTCTCGGAGTCTATCCTTATCATTAAACAATGCACGGCTGTATATGTGTACTGTATGAAAAAATGTCAAAAGGTTATACATTGGTATATTCAATAATTTTCTTATGTGGGGATGCATATAAATATTCATCATTAAATACCCAAAATGTTAGATGGAATTCTCTGCTTTGACAAGTATTTTAAAAATCATAACTATTTTCCTTGTTTCTTCCTTGGAATCTTATAATTGCCAGAAGAGAGCTAATAGAAGGGAATTATTTTCAGTGTTATACAATTTAGCTCTGACACTTGCTGGTAGAAGAGGTTCAGAAAGGTAAAAGGATGATAAACTCTCTTTGTATCTATTGACTTTCCTCCTCTGCCCAAAGTGAGAAAAATTATGAAAACATAACCTTTTTGTGAGTATAGTCCAATGATACACAGATTTTAAAGTACTTATCAGTAATTCTGAGTTCATAATCTCCAAGGGGGCAACAATGGCAGATATGAACCACCCAGGGAAATATGTTAGTACACGTTATAATGAGTGATATTTTAAGACATAAGAATGCAGCAGGACATTAATACAGTTTGAGAAGACAGGGAAATGTTCCCTGGGAAGTAAATTTTAAATAGTGGCAGAAAGGTAAGTAAAAGATTACAGGTGTCAAAGTGAAGAGAAGGGGTACTCTTTCCAGAGAGGGGATGGATCTGGCTGGGACCTGAAGCAAGGGTGAGGGGCGCACACCAGAAATCCAAAGGAAAAGTGGGAGAGAGGGCCCACATGTCTGGTTATGAATTTTAGGCTTGAACACAAACATAATGACAAGCCACGGTAGCCAAAAAATAAACAAATAAAAACCAAATCAAACAAAACCTTCAGTTTGTCCTCCCTTTAAACTATAAATATTTCAACACCTATATTAGCTTTTGAAATGGAGAGCATTGGCACAAAAATTGCTCCTAAACACTGCATGGCATCCAGAAACTTTACCGACTTTGCAGCTTATTAAATTGGCCTTAACATTTTTCATAATCAACAATGTTGATCAATGTCATTATAGCCAGAAAATGTTGATACTTTTGCTTTTCCTAAATTATATGTTGCAATGGAATCTTAAAATGACTTTCATTTAAATGTTCTATTCTCTTGGAAGGCTTCATTCCTTGACTCTTTCTAAAGCTTGATTTAGCATCTTCTATTGCAAGACCCAAACCTTGAAGTTCTCTCAAAGAAACCTTTAATCAATTCTAAAAATATAACTTTAACATCTCTGAATACTTGTCATTTGCTGTCATCACATCATGTTCAAGGTGCATCTCATATACTGACTCAACAGGGCTCAGTTCCGTGAGGAAGACAAATATGTAAAAATAATAAAAAGCATTATGAGAGTGCTGTAGAGTTAAAGTGCTAAGCCTGATTGCTCTTGCATTTGTCCCTAAGTCATTTATGATGAATAATAGTCTTTCTCTAGAGTAAAGCTTTACTCCCTGTCTTATGAATGGTTGATTGCTTCTTATTTTGTTTCCTTAGCACTTTTTGAGCACTTTGTGTGTTTTTCTAACTTTTCTTCTTCCTCAGAACTGTCGTCTGTTTTGTTAGATTTGTTCCACGTCCCCTAAACACTTCCGGCAGAAAATAACCATATACTCTTCTTCCTGCCTCTCAGACTTATAAAGCAATATTACTGAGAAACAACATATTGCAAATATGTTTGCCAGTAATGCATACATTTTTTTCCCTTAAGTACTCAGAGGTCAATGGGTATAACTAAAGTGTATTTTTATTAAAAACAAGCAAACAAATAAATAAGCACATGTTTAAAATAATTATTGTGCTTATAGGTATTACTAGCCACAAATTTTCTACTTTGCTTAAAATGTTTAAGACTAAAGGCAGAAAAAAAGCTGTCAACAATCTCCCTGTGGTTATTATGTATCCTTGATGTGGTAAATTTCTCAATTTCCAGTTGTGGCAGCCCTGTTCTGTGTTCCTGCACTGGCTCGTGACATCTTGAAGGGCTGCTAAAGCTTGGAAAGTGGCATTAAATGGGGTTTGGTATCAGGCTTTCCCCAGAGCTAAAGTATTATACACAACGTGGTAAGCTGTAATGTTGACCTCCCTCCCCCGGGGGGGGAAAAGGGCAGCAATGAAGGTCCTTGATCCATTTGAATTTTTATATATGGTGATAGGTAGTGGTCCAGTTACATTTTTCTTCCTGTGGCTAGCCCGTTTTCTCAGCACAATTTACTTAATATATTTCCTTCCTCTAACGTCTGTTATTGCCGGCTTTGTAGAAGATGAGTTGTTTGAGAGATTGCAGCTTAACTTCTGGATTCTCTATCCTGCTCCATTGGTCTATGTGTCTATTCTTGTATCAATACCACAATATCTTGATTGCTGCAGCCTTGCAATGAAGTTTAAAGACTAGACGTTTGATACTTCAAATTTATTTATTTTGCTGAGGATGACTTTAGCGATCCGGGCTGTTTCTTTCTTCCATGTGAATTTCTGTAGTATCTTTTAAAGGGCTGTGAAAACCAGGGCTGGTGATTTGATAGGGATTGCATTGAAAATGTAGATTGCCTTGAGTTGTATTGGCACCTTGATGATATTGATTCTTCCTATGCACGAGCATGGGGTGTTCTTCAATTTGTCTGTGTTATCTTTGATTTACTTGAGCAGTGTTTTGTAGTTTTTATTATAAAGTTCTTTCATCTCTTTGGTTAGGTGGCTGCTGAGAAATTGTGTGTGTGTGTGTGTGTGTGTCTGTTGTGAATTGGATTGTGCTTTGTATTTGAATCTCAGACTGCTTGTTGTTGGTGTACAGAATTTCAAATGTTTTTTTCTTTCTTTTTTTTTTTTGCGCATTGATTTTGTATCCTGAGATTTTACTGAAGTCATTTGTGAGGAAGTGTTTTGACAGACTCTCTAGGGTTTTCAAGGCATATAATCATATTATTTGCAAAGAGGGATAACTTAACTTCCTTGTTTATTATTTGGATACCCTGATTTGTTTTTCTTACCTGATTGATCTGGCTAGGACTTCCTTTATGATGCTAAATAAGAAGGGTGAGAGGGGACATCTTAGTCTTGCTCCAGTTCTTCAAGGAGAATGATTTCAGCTTCTGTTTATTTCGTATGATGTTGCTGCAGGTTTGTCACAGATAGCTCTTATCATTTTAAAGAACGTTCCTTCAATGCCTAGACGTATGAGGGTTTTTATCATGAAGAAATTCTGGCTTTTTGGAATGCTTTTCCCACATCTAATGGGATGATCACATGGTCACACCTGTTTATGTGAAAGATTATTGATTGGCATATGTTAAACCAGCCCTGTACCCCAGGAACGAAGTGCACCTGGTTGTGAGAGATGATTCTTGGAATATGTTGTTGGATGTGATT